AAATCTTTTTTAAAAAGAATGTTCACATTAAATGCCTTGGATAGGTAGGCCTTCTGGGGATTTTTCTCTGATGCAATGAGAGTGCACCATTTCTGTTTTCAGAAATCGTTTTTTTCAGCTTCATACTGAGCTTGTCTAAAGTCATATTACGTAAGTCAGGGCTTAGTCTGTACATTAGTATTTTACATCTGAAAGTCTCCTTAAATCCTTTTTTGATCAATCTGATATTGAACAGACCTATACTGAATTCTTCTACACTTGTTTATGGTATTCATTTTGATAGATCTAGGATTAAAAGCCAAATTAACAAGTGTAATCAATTTTCTTAGTGATAGAGAAAAGTCCTCTAGTACCCTTAGATACATGCATCTGGGGATGAAAACCTTAAGTGAAGATGTTGTAATAAATGGATCGATTTATTCAATCACTGAGCATAAAAACATTAGCCCTGGGAAAGCGTTTTCCTCTAAGCGCTTTTGCTACCGAGTTTCACTTGTGTGGCACCGAGTGATTTGCATTTTTAGAGAAATTTCATGTTTGCAATGAGCTCCAATGAAAACATGAATAAATTGCTTTCTCCACCCCCCCCAACCCCCGCCAACCCTGCTTTTTTGACTTTATGAAGCTGAATCCAATAGGGGCTGACTCAAAGTACAATGAAATAAAGGCCACGACTTGAGTTGGGAACCTGGCGCGGTTGTCACGGCCAGCAGTTCAGGCGAGTGCTTTGCAGGGATGCCCCTGGGATGTCTGCTACATTACAAATCATCTCTAAAAGACAAGTCATTAAACTAGCAGCGATTAAGAGCTAAAATGGGAGCTGCACGCTGGTGGCTCACGTGAGCCTGTAATCCGAGCTACTCAGGAGGCTGAGATCTGAGGATCGTGGTTCAAAGCCAGTCCAAGGCAGAAACATCTGTGAGATTCTTACCTACACTTAACCACAAAAAATCCCTAAGTCCAAGTGCAGTTCAAGTAGTAGAGCACTAGCCTTGAACAAAAGAGTCAAGCGAAAGCGCACAGCCCTGTAACGTGGCTCTGATGAAATTTTGTTGTTATGAATAAGAACATTGTATTTGTCAATACCTTTTTTTCTAATTTTTGTGAAAAATTCGTAATAAGTTAAATGTTAAGCATATCCTCTTAACAATGGGACTCAAGGTTTATAGAATGTTTTCTTTTTTATTAACTTAGTTTATTGTTATTATAAAGGTGATGTACAGAGAGATTACAACTACATGAGTCAGGTAATTAGTAAGGGAACAGAAGACTCTGTACAAAAGGACAGGTACTCATTAAATGTCTCACTTATAAAAGTTATTTAACTATGATTAAAGATATGAAGCTACACAACTATTGTCTAAAGGATAAACAGATAAATTGTACTTATTTATGGAAATATTTCTGGTTACCAAAAATGTAAATGGAAGTTGTTCGGTTTATTCCCATTTCCAAATAAAACCTCTATTCGCTTCAGCATTGTGACCTTACAAAGCAGATTATAATTCGGGCACCGGAGGTGGACGCTCACATTAGTACTAATACACTGACTTCCACTGTGTTAATTTTATATGACCTAAACCTTGGTTAGGAAGAAGGGGACTTCTGCTACTTCCTCAGAAATCAGTTTCTGAAACTTCTACCTGTAGAAAGAAGCAGTTTCACTAAAATCGACTCTGTGAATTCAAGTAAAATATGCTGGAAAACAAAAACAAAATCACGTCATCATGCTAAAATCATCCACAAGATAGGAGAATTCTTGTATGTAGATTTTGCTCTGAATCAGCTTTATAAAATATAACCTGAGCTTTATTTCTAGCAAAACCTTTTGAGACATTTTGATAAGGTCAACAGAGAGCACAGTCCTTTACCACTAGGTGATCAACTTTTTGACAGTGGCAGGACTGTGCAGCTAATGGAGGAATAGCCTGCAGGGTCCGGCTAAATATGATATATGAACGTAATCGACCTCAGTGATGACTATTCAAAAGTAATCCCTTTAGCTTTGAAACACAACATATATTTCAACAACGCAAAACCCGCATGAAGAAATTCTCTGCAGACCACAGATACAATACAGCCTTCATATTCTGCTCTCTGGGTTTGCTGCTTATAGCGAGTTTTAAATTTAAGGTAATGACTACTGTATATTCACGTAAGCACACACCAATACTTCTGATTTGTTATGGGAAGGCTGACTTCCATTACAGGGGGTCTAGCCTATAAACTCTGGTACCACCTCTATGGATGAGTTACTGTTTACCCTTTTCTAGAATAAGACCACTAAAAAATGTTTTGCCTGACAAAATTGTAAAATTGCATTCACCTTTCTAGTCACCAAAACCGCCAGAGATGATCTTCTCCATGTCATTTCAAACTTCTCTACAGATAACATAGTTTGAAGTGCTGTTTGTTATACAGTGTTATATGAAATTAATATGTCGTTGTTTTCAAATAAAAGGATGTGATGGAAGGTGTATTGCAATTCACTATTGGCTAGTTTATTCTATTGCAGTATCGGCCAAATGAAGGTTAAACGTGGTTTGTTTCCCATTTGAGTTTAAGACTGTCTTTATTGTCACCAACAGAGACTTGCCCAGTTGTACAGAAGTAGGAGACAGTACAAGCAAATCTCACACTTCCACTCGCGTTGACTTTTATTGGCTTCCTGCTGGAGTGGTATTGGTCCCAGTCTCCAGCCTTCTCAAATCCTTCAGATTAAACATCTCAAATTACACCCTAAGTCAGACCCATAGCACGAGCAGACATTAGGAATGAAAACGAGTGCTTGTGCAATTAATGGAAACAGAAGTCAACATTTCTGTGGTGCCCACCTTGTTGCAAATGAACACAAGTATAAACCCCTGCAGGACTCACTGAAATGCTCCCTTTGGGAAGTAGTCATCGCCAAGGTGACCGAGCATAGACAGTGATCAGATCCAAGTACAACCAGGTGACTGAACAACCGAGGTAGAGTGAAGGACCTAATCAAAGAGCAACCCGAAGAACTCAGACCCAAAGTCAAATAATCCACATGTGCACCGAAACGATTGCAGTAAGAACGTCAGAGTAAAACAGCAAAAAAAAAAAAAAAAAAGCCTATGCTTTTTGATGACAAGTGATTCCACTTGCAGGTGGAGCACCCAAATAATCACGAGAGCGTCTTATTTGATATTCTGGGCTTTAGCGAGGGAGAGAGGAGAGCAAACATCTTGCAAGAACGATAGAGTGAGGAGATGAGCAGGGCACCGGTTCCGCTCCACGTCTAGTAGTAAGAAGAATGAAAAGGCGAAAGCAGCACTCCGTTCTGATACAGTGAAATGTTTAGTGGAAAGCCAATTGTCCCTTAGAGCAAGAAAAATGCACTTCAGAAAATAAAGTGAAGATATGGCTATTTTATTGATAATGGACCAAGTATTACATTCCCAATATTCCAATTATATTGTTTTCCAAATAGAATATAGGAAATAGGAAAGAAAGGCTGAAACCTGGAGTTTGTCAGAAGCCAGATTGGAGTATTTTTGTTTGTTTGTTTGTGGCCAGTCCTGGAACTTGAACCCAGGGCCTGCACATTGTCCCTGAGCTGCTTTTGCTTAAGACTAGCACTCTACCACTTGTGCCACTTCTGGGTCTTTCTGTGTATGTTGTACTGAGGAATTGAACCCAGGGCTTCATGTATGCTATGCAAGCACTCTACCACTGAGCCACATGCCCAGCCCTGGAGTATTTTATGAGATTAATTCCCATGAAGCTCGCTCTCTCTCTCTCTCTCTCTCTCTCTCTCTCTCTATCTATCTATATATATATGTATATGTATATATGCTCTATATACACATTTACGTATATCAGTTTGATATAGTTGACTTCATTATTTGAGCCATTTATATAGCTAAATTAATATTTCTCCTGAGTGTTATTTAACAGGTCATCTTATTCCTCAAAGATGGCCTGTCCGGTTGCCATTTCAGTCAACCACAAGGATTTTCAAGTTAGAAATTCAGAAAGGAGTCAGGTGGCTGATGCCTGTAACCCTCACTACTCAGAGGCTAAGATCTAAGGATTAAGGTTCAGAGCTGGCCGGGGTAGGAAAGTCTGTGAGACCCTCATCATGGGAAGTGGCGCTGTGGCTCAAAGTGGTGGAGCACTCACCCTGAGCAAAAAAGCTCAGGGACAGTGACCAGGCCCTGAGTTCAAGCCCCACTATGGGGGAAAAAAATCAAACAGGATTTGACGAGACATCACTTATGGTGACTTAATGGTTCCCAGCTGACAGAGGGTTGATTTTAAGGGTGAAATACAGGCTTGCTCCCAGACAATGGCTTTAGTGGGGTCAGCTCAAGGGATGGGCCTAACTGGGACTCTGCTTGAGCCTCTATCCATGACCATTCCAGTTTGGTGGTCTTAAACTTGGTCAGATTTCTTATTTGGTGGCTTCCTTCCTTCCACGCAAGCATCCTAACACAACCAAGTAGCTGCGGCCCAGCCTCTTCTGACCTTGGCCTTGAAGTCATACAACTGGTCACTTCCTCCATATTCACGCCTGTAATCCTAGCTACTCAGGAGGCTGAGATTTGAGAATCATGGTTCAAAGTCAGTCCAGGCAGGAAAGTCTTGTGAGACTCTTATCTCCAATGAACCACCAGAAAACAGAAAGTGGCACTGTGGCTCAAGTGATAGAGCACTAGCCTTGAGCTAAAGAGCTCAGGGACCGCACCCAGGTCCACAGTTCAAGCCCCACAACCGATAAAAAAAAAAAATCACCTTAACCCTAGCTCAATTTCCTACAGACAGGAAATATATTCTTCTTCTTGATAAAGAACATGTGGAATTAGGCGGGAAAGTCAGGACCCATTCTGGATCCTATGATTGGTTGAAACAAACATCTTATCATGTAGGAGGGAAGAAAAGACACACCCCTGAAATGGTATCCCCAGGTTCAAGCTCAGAATAATTGCATTTAAGAGAAATTATTAAATTTCTATATCTTATTTTTTTCTTTAGGAGAATCCAGAAGATCCACAACAAGTATGCCCCAAAGCTCAACAGAACATACGGAAGAAGTAGCAAGGTACTATATGTTAAAAAACTTTTTGCCCAGTGACTCAAAGTGGTAGAGCACTAGCCTTGAGCAAAAAAGCTCAAGGACAGTGCTTAAGCCCCGAGTTCAAGCCCCAGGACCAACCAAATAAAAAAAACTACTTTTCTATTAAGTACAAGACACTAAGTGTCATCTTATTCTGCAACTACAGGAATAGTTTCATCTGGCACTTGAGAAGCTAACACTGTAATTCTAGCATTAAAAAAAATCACAGATTTGCACTTAAATATTATATAATTTAATTATTTTAGTTTTGAAATTATTATGTCTAAAATGTATACAAAGAAAAATCTCTTTGATAGCAAGTTTTTTTAACCTTTCTAGTATCATATAAAAGTTAATTTTATAATTTATCTTATTTCAGTTTTCCAGACAATCAAAACAAGACGGAGACTTAAAACAGCTTTGATGTCACATCAAAGCAAGAAAAGTTACCGTGTTACCATGGATTTCATTCCTATGCTAGGAGGATGTTAGAAACAATTTATTAAATAAGTTATTTAAAGCGACTTTGATTTCTATTGGATTTCGATTTTTCTGCGTGCCTGTGCTGATACTGGGCCTTGAACTCAGAGCCTCATATACACATTTGGATTTCTTGCTCACTGCTGGTACTCTACCACTTTAGTCATGCTGCAGGCCCAGAATTTTTACTGATTAATTGGAGATTGCATCTCACAGACTTTTCTGCCTGTGATCCTCCAGGTCTCAGCCTTCTAAGTAGCTAGGATTATAGGTGTGGGCTCTCAGCACCAGCTCTTATTGAATTTTGTATGTGGAATAAACTATAAATTTAGTCTAAAACATCTAGATTCATAAATATCAAATAAATTATATATCCCAAATGCTTACACAGATAATTCTATATTCATAAATTCTATATCCCAAATGCTTAGAGAGATAAAAAGGATCCATAAAATGAACTATGCTAAAATAAATAGTCATATCATAGGTCAAAATTTGATTAAGATGAGAAAATAATTACAAATTAAGAAAACTTTTCATGCTAAATAAATGCAAGATAATATTTACTAAAATTCCAACAGTTTCACAAGTTTGAGGTTAGTCTGGACTATTACTAAGTTCTAGGCCAGCACAGGCTACATATAGAATCTTGCCTCAAAAAGAAAGAAAGAAAGAAAGAGTCAGGTACCAGTGGCTCATGCCTATAATCCTAGCTCCTCAAGAGGGTGAGATCTGAGGATCACCATTCAAAGCCAGCCTGGGGAAGGAGAGTCCATGAGTCTCTTACCTCCAATTAATCACAAAAAAAGCTGCAAGTGGCCCTGTGGCTCAAGTGGTAGCCAACCTTCAGGAAAAGGAGCTCAGGGACAGCACCCAGGGCCAGCAAAACAAAATATAATAATAATGGACAAGGAAGAGAGAAAAAAAAGTATCTGGAAGAGGAGAATAAGAAGGAGAATGAAAAGGAGGAGAAGAGGAAGAGGAAGGAGAAAGGAAAAAGACAACCTAAAAGAAATAAAGCATATAGAGAATGTTCCAGCCTGTACGCCTAGGCAGCGCTCTCCACACTGGACCACTTGTGCCCTTCTGGCCAGTGTTGAGTGCAAATGAGGTAATCAATACAGAAAATTGTATACAGATTCCTCAAAACATGAAAAATAAAGCCTACCGCAGGATCCAGCAATATCACTGCTAGATAGAATTAAATGCAGAGAATCAGAGGCAAGGCAAAGTGACAGACCAGAACCATCTACCATTCCCTCCATAAATGAGAAGATCTCATGGAATACAGGAGAGACTCGACTCCAAAGAGAGAAAAGAAAATCGACACCACAAAGGAGGCAGAAAAAAAAAAAAAAAAACAAGACAAACCCGGCAGCAGACAAACGGGAAGGGCTTCTGAGCTGGTGTGGAGCATCCCCGATTGTGGGAAGTAAGTTGAAGGCCAAAATACACAGTGAAAAAAGACAGTTCCTGCCAACTCTAGTGGTGGGAAAAATCCACCCAGTTCTCAAGCCTTATCCTTGCGGTGACAGGGGCTTGAGAGACAGCAGCTACTCAGGGTGGGAGGCTAGCCTAGAGTCTTTGGCTCAGAGGACGACAGTAAGAGACCATCTTGACAGAGACCTGGAAATGAGCAATCATGGATAGGACAGCTGTCCATAGACTTTGAGTATGTCCGTAATAAGAGGTGGCTAAAGAATGTCCGATTGGTCCTGCACAGAAGTTTGAACTTCAGGAAGCAATGCAGTCCGCTTCCACCCCAGAGGCAGTTGCTTTGGGCATGCCTGGAAGTGCTGCTGGGTGACTGAAGCTTGAGCTCCTTGCCAGATAGATCACAAACAGAGCCACCTGCAGAAGAGAACTGCTGTTGCTCAAAACCCCCAGCAGAGGCGCTCATGGGCCACCACTGGGACTGACGGCATGGGCGTGGCAGCTGTCCCCAGCATCCCCTCCCTAGGCAGGAGAGAATCAAACCTGCACCTGAGCCTTGTGAGGTGTGCACTGCCCAGGGCCTGTGTGCTGACCCTCGGGTAGAACGGAGCCTTCCCACCCAGACCTAAACCATGTGATTTCCATAGCTGCTTGTACCCCACCCGGAGAGAGAGACTCACACCGAAGCAATCGAAACCTCATAGCTTGTTTTATAGGAGTCTGTCTTTGTTGCTGTTTGGGTTTGACTCTTTTATTCAATTGTATGTCTGGTTTTGCATATTTGATGTAGACCATTTAATTTGTTAATTATTCCCTTTTTATTCTAGGCCCTTATTCCTTCCTATTTACTTTTTTGTTCTGCTTCTTCCTCCTTTCCTTTTCTCCAAAGTCTTAAGACCTATAATTTTATAAAGCCACTAGTAAGTTTCCAAAATCTAACATAGTCTAGAAAAAAAACAAAACCATTTCTCAGTATTATCAACTGAAGTTGGAAGAGGAACATGGTCTTTTAATAGCTCCTTATTTTAAGACTTTTTCTTGGTGGAGGGGAGGGGCACACGTCTGGAGTTTGAACTCAGGGCTTTGTGGTTGCCAGGTAGATGCTCTGCCACTTCAGTTACTTCTCTGGTCCTTTTGGCCTTTATTTTCTGGTGGTGGTGGTGGTGGTGGTGATGGTTGTGGGGCTTGAACTCAGGGCCTGCGCACTGTGTCTAAGCTTTTTCTGCTCAAGGCTAGTGCTTTACCACTTTGAGGCACAGCGCCACTTATAGTTTTCTGTGGTTAATTGAAGATGCGTTTCACAGATTTTTCTGCTCAGGCTGGCTTAGAACTGTGATCCTCATATCTTAGCCTCCTGAGTAGCTAGGATTACAGGGGTAGCCACCAGCACACAGCTGCTTTTGTTATTTTTCTTGCTTTTTGCCTGGGCCAACCTGAACCACAGTCCTCCTGTTTATGTGTCCCAAAGAGTTGGAATTATTATATGCTGCCACTATGCCCCGCTTCTCATTGGTTGTGATGGAATCTCATGAACTCTTTGCCTGTGTTAGCTTTGGACTGACATTTTCTCAGCATCAGCTTTTCAAGTAGCTAGGGTGACAGGCATGAGCCTCCATCCCAGCTTCCATTTATATTTATTCTTTCTGTCATCTCATGTCTAGATCAAAGATGACTTATCACAGGTGTTGCTGTACATGATGTGGGTTGTTTTCCTGCCTGGTGAAATTTTAACAAGGCAAACAATATTTTGTTTTTTATTCATCCTTCAAGATGTGAAGAATTCCCAGAGAGAACTTCTTCCTGACTCATGACCTAAATGAACTTAAATAATTAAAAGAGAAACTATTTGTACAGTTTTCATGTTTTGTGTCCTTGAGAGTTGATGCTAATACAACAGTTTCCAAGAATAAGTTTAGTCGGTGTGATAATATCTCTATTATTTTTCCTGGATAATTTAAAATTTAGAAATACCTTCCACCTTTAGTAGAATGCAATATTCATCAAAATCATCTAGCCAATATAGTTTATAGATTGAATTTATTACTTTGTGCAATTATTTGAAATATTCATTATTTGATAAATAAAGTTAGCAGTTTTCACAACTCTTAATTATTGTCATGTTCTATCCTTATAGCATGTACATGTGTCCTCCAGCATACTTATAAACTTTCAAAATTCTGTATATAAGAGGTATTTTTCACTCCAAAGTATATGTAGAATGAAAATCTGTATTTGATAATTAATAATCAAATCTAATAAGTAAATCTGACCTTGTGTGTTATTCATGCTTATCTGTGCATTCATTGTTATAGAGATGAAATGTGCTTGAAAACTTACACCACAGACCTCAGCAGACAAGAAGCTGAGGGTTATCAGCTGAACTAGGCACTAGGCCCAATACAGAGGCTACCATTGAATGATAGCATGGCTCAAAAGGACGCATGACCAAACATCCATTTCCTAGGCAAAGTTTAATATCATAACTGCATAAATACATAAATTATTTTCAGGCATGCAAGAAAAAGTAAGATAAGGCTTCTCAATGGATCAAGGCATAGTGGTTCTTCTTGAGAATACTGATGCATTCTGGTCTGTAATCATAAAGCACTTCATGAGGGCTCTGGCCTCTGTGGCTTATATGCACATCTGGTTCCCAATGTATCAACCCACCATCCTCACACTGCTTCTCAAGAAACCTAGACGAAGTGGGATTTCTGGTGAACTCTGAATGAAAGAATAGAAGCAAGGTTTTGCCCAATGCATAATAGACGTTGGCAGGAGAGTGTGACAGAGGGGTGAGATTGGTGGGGAGAGCAGCTTCTTCCTGGGCGATATATAACAGTGAAATCCACCCCTCGCCCTGTGTAAATAATAGAAGCCAACAGAAACAAAAGGAATGGATGTAAATGAATAAATAGCATGTCATCAGGATGCAATCAAAATAAGAGGAAGGGGAAAATATTAAAATGTCCACAATAGTAGATAGTATTCTAAGGCAAAGAAATGTCCACCAGTGTTAACTGATGTGTGATTACTAAGACAATAGATCATGCATATTGAAAATTAGTAACTTTTTATGAACCTTCAGACCTCATGTATTTTACAATTTTCCAACCCTTGAAAGTAACAGGAATAATAGTTTCTAAACTTTTTTAAGGGCCTGTAGACTCTTAAAAATTATTGATCATCCTAAAGAGCTTTTGTTCCTATTTAAACAGAATCTTAAAACATTATTTTAAAATAACACAATAAACTCCCTATGAATTAAAACAAATGGCATCTTTTAATTTTTTCAAACCAAAAAAATAAAAGTAGTAAAACATGGTTTGACATTTTGGCTGATCTCTGAAGTCTGGCTTAACAAGAAGAAGCTGGATTCCAGGGCCTGATTCTCCACGCAGTGTCCTGCCCTGCACCCATATGCAAGACATCATGACTCACTCAGATGCAGCCGGGAAAGAGAGGCAGTGAAGATCACTCTCCTCTGATTCTACATGAAAATTTGACAAATGCCACGTTCTTAAAAGTTGGTTATCATGTGGGATTTGAAATCTCCCCGTGAGCATTCCCTGATGGATTCTATTATTTATTCTCACATGATTTTGGAACATCATGATTGCTCATTCAGGAAATAGTGGCTTAAGAAGCTAATCAGAGGGGCTGGGAAG